CACTATCATTTCCTTCTGTCTATCTTTCCACTGAGAAGAATTATTGCCCACGCCATTGCGTGGCACCGGCATTTACTTGGGTCACACAGCTTTCATAAACCCTTACTGCTGCCTCGATCAGATGAACATTCAACGGCTTGTCCTTTGTGCATCCGTCTCTACTGCCAGGCACAGACGGACGCACTATGCCCATATTCCTCGTGGCTGGGAACGTATGGGGCTGGGTCACGAAGAATTCCCCCGTTCCATTAGCTATACTGCGGCGCCGTCTTGGACTAGTCGAAGTGCATTTTTACGAGTATGATATAACATTTATTTCTGGTTAGCATAAGTATACGAGGTTACTTGGACCTGCTCGTTAATCTCTCTTGTTTGAGACACAAGGTTGATCTTCAGTGCGCTACACACGGCTGGCGTTGCCTTTTTAACTCTGATTTTTCGATACGCTGATTTCACTGCAAACCGTTCGCACCAATTAACACATCTTTAGTTTTAGTGATCACCTTTTTTAGGTTACATCACTGTAGTGCTTTTATTTTTATGCACGGGAGTAGTTTGCGATTTCACGCAATACCCTAATGTCCACTCGTACCATTTACACGTTCGGTAGCGCTCGCTGTTACCTAGGTGTTACTCAGGTGCACTGGACAATATTCTGCCTGCTTTTTCATTCCGACTGACCTCACTCGCTGCACGCTGCACACAAACAGAGTTGGTAGTTCGGTCACTTTCCACACAGGTGGAGCGCTTAGATATCCGATCGATGTCATTCGTGTGGTTTTCAGCTTGTCGATTACGTGGTTGCATAGTACGCTGTAGGCGGGAACCAGTGAAAAACACCTCGACGCGCAATATTGTCAGTAGCGACGAAGAAACGAGCGACGGCAACCTTATACGCACTGTGTGAAAAATGAAGCACGCCTAGCGCAACTGTTTCATCGATCTGACCCGCAGCGCGTTGGCTGATGATCATCTGCCTTTGCTCATCGGCGCCAAGGTGATGTATTCGGTGACCATGTAATGATTGGCCAGTCATTCACGCGTGTGGTTTAGTCCACATTGATAATTTGCCTTTTTAAACCACATTTTCAACATTGCCTCAACTAACTGAACGATTTTCCGTTACGTCATATCACCGAATCCAGTGATCTCGTCATTACACAAACAAATATCTTCCGCGGTCTAATCTCAAATTGACCCAAAACTTCCGTCAAGTGGAGTTTATCTTTTAACTAGTTCTCACTGGAGCTGCATTGGCTGGACACTTGATGTTTCCCATCACCGGCAGTCAAACTGGCTTGGCTGTGCCATGTATGCTCATCGCACTGTGAGGCCTTTTTCTAACCGTAATCGGGTTTACTCTTATTTCGCTCCATATACGCGTTTGGCTGCTATGCAAGTCGATTTACATTGCCCATCCTTACTCCCCGGTCACTTGCGCACCATATTAGGGCATTGTACATTGACCGATTTCAAGCATCCGCTTCTCTCTTACATAACTGGTCACGTTGGTCTCGCTCCAAAGCTTCTGTTATATTGTTTTTTCTCTTCATGGATTTGGAAACTTACCGTTACATCAAATGTTTTTTTTGCGTTGTGAAATGTCTCCTTTGCAACACCAAGTCCCAGGACTACTCCAGAAATCATGATTTTTCTGCACACACGCTCTTGACTTTTCATCCCAATTTTGTTAATCTATTCAGATCACTTAGCATTTCGACTGTCTGAAAGCTATGTTATCATCCCAGTCATGCGCAACCAGCATCCGATTGGTTTATTTGATGCAACGGCTACTAAGTGGCATATCTATATTGTGGAACATTTTACACCTTACACGATACATTCCTAGAGACTGTGGTGAGGATAGATTTTATGACCGAGATTGGGCTTTTCCTACATGATTTCCGTTTTGCAGCTCTGGGCTGTTTACTACGTTTGTCGTCTTGTCTCCCTCATTTTGGCAATCCGGCGAGAATTTTATGGCCGTTGCTTGGCAACATTATCACGTATAGCCTTGGAGTCTTGTTGCTATTTCATGACCTATTCTCGTCATTAAAATTCTGGATTCTCTATCTCCCCGTTCCAACCATTTTGTGTCGAGTATGGAGCAATTAGGTACTGCATACACTTTTCTATATGCGCATTTACACTTCTGAATATCCATAGCATTGAAACTTCAGCTCTTCGCCATCACTACCACCTGACATCCAACTAATCATCCGCAGATCGTTAGCACAGCATCTCATCACGCACGGTGTTTGTAGACACACGCAGCCTCTTGGACTCATGTGCATCTATTTCCTCAAACCTACCATCCCTCATATTGTCATGTGATAATAACTGACAATGTTTAGTGTATTCCGCTTACTCCTTTTTTCACCTAAGCGTGTGTAAATGCTTGTGGAACTTGGTCTATCTCTTCATTGGCACAGTCTCTCGATGCCCGAGAATTTGGCAATTATTTCAGTGAAGGTATTCACACAGGAATATATGAGCTTTGTTACTAATTTACGGACTTTTCTATCTCACTCGATACGATACTTTACTATTTTCTTCTTAATGATTCACGCACACGGTTGGACCGAGTAGGACAAAGAATCTGGCTTCATTGGGCTATTGATTCTCTTGCGAACCTACGTCAACTTTCCACCTGCGATGTCGCTTCCCGTTGCGTTCACCCTCTCTACCTTTGCATTCCAGTACATTCAGACATGGACGTCACTAATTTTCATTTTGTCTGTCGTACATGTCCGCTTTTCTCATGTATGTCTTGTCTCCCCCCCCCCCCCAGACTGTTGTGATCACCGTATATCCAACTTCTTGTTTTCGTTGATGTTGTTAATGAGGTGGCGGTTGTTATTTTGGCGCCTGCTGGTTGGCTTGGTTACCGTCAGTTGATCAAGCCCCGGTGTTCAGTCTGCTTGATAACTGTGACGATTCTTGGAACTATTCCTCTTGTCTGTCTATTTCGCTATTACCCATGACTCCTTTGACATGTTTGGTTCGTTTGCTACCAAAAGTCACCACTTCATTGGTCATCGCCGACTGCTCAGCTGACTTGGCTCAATGAACGCTTCTTTTGCTAATGCTTTACGATTCACCGAACCTTGTTTATCAATGCCGCTGCTGAGTACTGTCCAGCGCACAACGGGTAGCTACCACTGTCGTGTGGTGGGGTGGATGGTGGTTTCACCGTATTTCCTCACATCGTTTAATACACGTTAACCGAAGCGGAGGTAGCCATCTGTTTGACTCAGTTGCCATCTTTTGGAGCATACTACTTGATCTGAGTGTACTGCCTTTAGTTCTTTGCGTATGTACCATGCGACAGTTTCCTCCTTGTGTCGCATCCTGAAGCACGTACCCCAAGCAAAATATCCACTCACTGTGACAGACGTTCGAAGGTAGTTTAGATTTGTGGGATGCGCTGTCCTAGGTCTGCAAGTCAGCATTGGCCTTTCCTGAACTATGAGAGCTTTAGCAGCGGTAAAAACGATCGTTATGGGCAACTCTGGGCGCAATCAACACACAGACGCTCGAAACGATCGGAGTTTATTTCGTGATTATTCGTGGTCCACAATTTAAACTGATATTCCGAAAATCTAGCACTAAGATGTCTCAATTTTCGGTGCGGTTCCAGCACTGGAGCAATCTCACCCATGACCGTGAATCGCAATCTAGGGTTCAATGGGTGTTGATCACAAAAGTGAAAAAAACATTTGTTGCTAATGGGGTATTTGTCCGCTGCACTAATTAACCTACCGTTGCCCATCTAATTGACCTTTCCTGGCTCTTCAATCACTTAGTCAATATGGTTCTTCCACTGTACAGCGATCATGGTGGTACTAGCGTGTAACAACTTGGGTCGACTTAGCGTCACTTGTTGGCATTCCACATGGAATCTCATCTTGTTTTTTATTTTAAGCATATCCACACCATGTTCATCTCGATCACTTAGTCACATCCGGTACAGCTTACTCCCGGTGGCTCATCGCCTACCGCCTTGTTTTCTCAGCTTGAGTAGAAATGTTCTAGTCATTCTATGTGCTATTTACCGGTATTCAGTACTCAGGTTCGGCTAGATGTCCTTTCGATTTTCCATCAGTGCTTCATGTATTACAGCCCTTCGCGCTTAGAATACGCACTTTTTCTCCTGCCGTTGACGTTGCATCTGTTTTCATTCTGGCTATTAGCGTTCCTTGTTGCCATTGCTACACGTAACCTTAAGTGAGTGGCTGGTTTCCCGCTTCATTTGACCCTTTCTGGATTTTCGCGGGCGCCTCGATATTCCCAGGTCCACAGCGCACTCTCTAATCGTCGGTGCCGCCGATCTGGTTGCCCATAGAATCTCCGGGCGTAATTTTTGCGCATTATTTTATTTTTTGATGTGCCACCACACCGTATTTTGAATGCTTTGCTTTTTATTTATGCTTAGCATTTTTTGAAACGATTTCTCGAGAATAAGCCCTATTTGAGTTTACCGGTGCTTAATTGCCACTGAATTGCATCGCAGTCATCGCAATTCGTCCCTTGTTCGTTGTCACTTGTTTGAGTTCCTCCGATCCATTTTTTTCACTTGCTACAGCACTTGGCTACTTTTTCAAGCAGCATTTCCGTTGTGTCTCAGTTTTTCAGCATTTGTTTAACGTCCCCCTTTCCACCTGCAGTAAGCTATACAAATTCTCTACCGCACAGATAATGCCGCCACCTCTCAACAACGTTGAGTAAAGAAACTGAGCCGTACACCCTACATATTCGCTTCTCTCTACTTTTCCTTGTCATTAATTCCTAACCGCCAACCGTGCTACCCTTCTAATACTGTGCGGTTTTCTTCTTACAATCATTCACTGGACCGGTTTGTTCGTAGTGAGTTGTTCACCATTCATCACTCTCCCATTTGACAACTCACTTTAGCCTGCCTACATATCGCATTCCCATTTTCGTTTTCGACATACTTTTCAACTCTTCCTCTTGTCTTTTTATCCCTAACTGTGTTTCAGCAGTCGGGGGTCGTCTACACAATTGCATGATTGCGGCTCCAGGCCTACTGACGACGAAAGCGGTGCCAACTCTCCGCAACTGTGGAAACAGCTTACTCCCTCAGGTGACCATGCAATGGAGGATAGCGGCTCACCTTCCATTGCAGGACCTATGACTTGTAGCCGGCAGGCCGACTTAAACAGATCGTCTCCAAGTGAGCACTTTGGTAGTTTATCCAACGGCCGATTTTCGGGTCTAGTTTGGCTGTTATTTTTGGCTCCTTTGTTCTGTTCAAACTTCATGATCCATGAGATTTAAGCTAAATAGTTTTGTTGGCTCGTAGTTTGTGCACAGGTCTATCGATTCTGTTTACCCGGATCCTTGTAGATGACGCTCTTCAGCCCTCACCTAGAATTGGCACTGAGCTACTCCACTTAAGGTTTTTTATTCCACATTCTGAAAGTAACGCCTGTAGTACGGACTCTGCTGAGGCCCTTTTGGTACATTTACTTTGGCACTATAAATGGCGTCTATGCATTTATTTCCAAACGCGCGGATACGTTGGAAGTAACCCGTCCGACTCACTTGCTAGTGAGGTGCCGACAGAGTGTACCAATGGGTTATCTCAATATCATCAGTAATCAGGTTTCTTGGGTGTTTGCTACCTCTAGTCCAGACTCCCTCGTCACAGCTATTTTCATACCGAAGATCTGCTTTTGACCCCATCCATCCTATTCTTCTACACATCACCGTCATTTATCTGACTTTTCCTACTCTCCAGGCATCTAGTCACTGTTCGTTTCACATATCTAAACTATTGAGCCAACACATGTACGCTTAAATCATGATGCATGACCATCTTATTACTAAGCCTGGAAGCCAGTGTGTGGGGTTTTTGCAAAACCGTCAGTTAGTTGTACTGATCAACTTCTCAAATCAACACACGCACCGTCAGGCGATGCTTCCAGTTGTGCCATCAGTTGTACGCTTCCAACTGTTGCACTAACCAATCCTTAACATAATACACCACCGTCTCGGTGCTCCCATACTTTAATGTGTTTTCTCTCCTCTTTCGTTTCACGCAGTGGTCCAGTCTATGTTCGAAGGAACAGTGGACAACTTCCGCTTGAATTGTTCAAAGTGAGCTGCACATCTTTTCACATTCACATATTATCTTGAAATGTCTGCTATCAGACTCAGGTAACCCTGTCCTTCTTAATGTATTATCACACGTGTCAGTGTAATTGGAGCACTCGACACAATATCCACTTACCTGGTCATGTAGACACTCAGCTTCTCCCGTAAGAATAGAGTTACCGATTTGGTGCGCCCTTGAAACGATTCGCTTGATTATCACTTGCTTTTCCGCGTCCTGAACCCATATCAGATTAGTCATTGTCTTTTGCGCCTGGTTTGCTGCTACGCTCTCACAATCACCACATCGGTACTTTTCCACTTTCGCTGTTTTGGTCGAATGACACCTTTTTCCTACTTGTGTTGCTTGTGGCGATCAACACCTACTAGATAGGTATCGATTAGGTACAAAGGATAACACCAATTCCGGGTGCAAATCTACACATCGAGAGACACGAGGATGGTAAAACTGGTGAGACGGATGAAAACGCACGGATAACTGTCTAATGTAACCTCATTCAAAAACCTACTCATGCACAACGGAGATGTGGTATGTGTATAGATAACCTACTGGTCCTTGTCGGCCGAAGCAATTGCATGTCTGACTTTCAATCTTTTGATCACTGGTTCGAATCAGCGGAAGGGCAGGCGTCCTTGTATTATACTCAGCTCACGCCCGACCGGTGGGGGTCGCGTGGCAGCGAAGCGTCGGTCTAGTGTGCCGGCGTACTGCTGATGGCTTTGTCGGCCAGTGGCCGAAAGGTTTGAACGCCTAGCTTGCAATCTCTAGGTCGCGGGTTGGAATCCGCGTAGAAGCGGGATTCCTCGTGGTGTACTCAGCCCACGCGCGACCGGAGGTGGTCGCGTGGCAACGAAGCGTCGGTACAGTGTGCCGGCGTACCGCAGGATGATTAGCTCGCGTTGACAAAATGTAATCCATCGATACACGGCTTTCGTAAGTGGCGGCATATCTTACCTTCCCGACCAGAACCTCAGATTTCGCAGTTGCGGCGTAACCCGGTTTTTATGCTTGTTGGTTTTTCCTATCCATCTCCAGTGACAATATCTCGTATTCCTCGCCAAATTGAGCAGCTCTGTTACGTGTTTTTACTTGATGATCCAGCGTTCCCGCATTACTTCATCAAGTGCTCCTCGCCATCCCTTTTTGGACCACCAAGAACCAGCACATATTGTTTTGAAGATTGCAATGTCACGTTCCTTGCATGCATGCGGGTGCATGAAATTTCTTTTAACTTGACATGTATTGGGTAAACATAATACACCACGTTCACTAATCCGTGCGTTCTCGCCACATTTAGAGTTAATAGAATGTGCTCTAGGGTTATTTATACACATCACTCCCTTTGTGCATGAATAAGTTATTGTATGTTGTTGCATTAGGCAGTTCTCTGAGTTTTCCTCCATCTCTCCACTTTTACCATCCTCATGTCTCCCGATGTGCACATACGCATTCCAAATTGGTATTACCTTTTGTATCCATTCGATACCTTTCTGGTAGGTGTTGATCGCCACTGACGACGCTACATTCTTGTATTAAAACTTCGCTTTGCTCGTTTCACTTTATCGTTTCTGGTCATCTTCGTGGTCGGTGAATTATTTCGCAACTCTTGTATCCTTCAGAGGAATGACTACTTGCTTATTGGCATCGGTTCGGGGTCAACCGCATCTATTTCTCAGATCTTAGGCCTGAGCAATATCGCTGCCTGTCGTAGTTTAGCTTTCGATGTCTGTGCCTTGCACCTTTTGTTCCCCCGGTTCGAATCCCCACTCGTGCACGGATTCCAATGTTCCATAAATATCGCAACAAGCATTCACTGTTTATGATTGCATAACCTCAAAGCATCAGCACACAATACCAGTGTACTTCTGACGTCTTTGGCTGCATTTCTCATCATTTCGGCACTTTTTGCTTGCATGGCAACAAACGCAGTAGATGCATCGTAAATTGCCTCGCTTCTTCTCCACCTTACCTTACTTGAGGTAAGATCGATCTAACTACTATTTTTAGAACAACTCATACAACCTAATGTTACTGGTGGGATTCTGCTTCGTGTTAATTCGATCTCTACAACATTTATCCCATTCGTACCCTTGGTCATCATTTCGATTAGCATGGATGGCGCTTGCCTCCCGTATCACAGACTGCTCAACTCATTTCTACCTTTGCTCTGTCTCCTTCTCCTGCACTTGTGTGAATGGTCGTGTTCAAGCATCGGCGAACACTATGGATGACATATTCTTCACCCGCCGTCTTCTCCAAGTGAACTTTGCATTGTTATTCCCGCTGCTGTACCGTGATGCGCCGAACTGCACAATTGGCGAACAAATCGCGGCCATCTTCTTCAGTTTACTTTGCTTTCTTATGCATTGTGTGAACTCCATAGGAAGATAGACCCACACGAAATAGTGTGCATTGAGGGAGTTGCGAACAGCCCCACGGTTACGCGTTCTCACTCTGCCGTCATCGAGTTGTATAGCATCCTAGCCACACACCCCCGCTCCAACCGTCGAACGATATTTCCACACCACATAAACGACTGATAGCGTGTGATAAATGTCGTGGCACTGTTTACCACATCCTTGTTGTAGCTTTGGAATCGCGTTCTCGAGGACCAGATGCATCACCAGTGGAAGAATGCTGGAAGACAGACGCACCTCTCTTTACTCACACTCAGATGCATCCGTCACATCTTCAGAATGTCCACCAAAACATTGTGTTGGTCTTTTCTCTGTCTCAGTTTCGTTTCTCCATCCTCTTATTTGGGGTCACACGGTTTGTTTGCTCAAATTCGCATTGCTTTACTCTCATTTGGTCTGCGGGGGAATCATCTACCACCAGTATGACACCGGTACCAACTAAGAGCTTCCAGTTCTCACTCGTCTGTGCGCTTGTCGGCTTGTGTTCATTTCCCTAGTTTCCGACAGCTTTTAAGCAACTTTCTCAAATAATATCTTTTCTCTTTTCTTACAGCATTGTCGCAAACAGCGGTGTTTTGGTTTCCTCATCTAGGAAGTTCTGTCTGATATATAAGTTTGCTTACGGATGTTATAGTTGACTGTGGACACCTGTTAGTTGAACTTGGATAGAAACGTGCAGGCGCCTCAGTCCAGCTTGACAACGATGGTTCGCGTGTAACGGATCACAACGAACCCCGTTACCTTGACTTCCACCACCACGATAATACTAACTGGAAATGGCGGAAAAAATAAGGGAAATGCAGGTCAAAATAGTATGAAAGACATTGTGGAACAAGAAACGTATATTTAAGCGGGTTGCCGTGTTGATAGCTGGATGTCTTGGACTCTGCGCTTGTTTCGTTAGGCCTCGGGACACCCGTCTAGGAAGTCGGCACGTACCATTCTGATCACTGCCCTCGGTCGACGCCTTTCTTTCTCCTAATCAACTGTCAACGTGCATGAGAAATAATTGGTCAAATCAACCTAGGCGATCCGATCCAACAGGCACTCGAGTGCAGCATTCGTGTGCCCTTCGGCGACATTGCATACACATTTAGCTGACACATGTTAGCGTGACAGACTTAGTCCTGTGACACCGATTTCCATACAGCCATGTCAAGTGTTCCGTATCGCCTTTACACGGTTCTTGGCTATCATGCACCCAGCCAAATCACTTAATCCCACATTTCCCAACGAGTTGCGCTTCCATATGTACTTTTCTTATCATGTCACCAGACACGGTGGTGAATATGCCCAAATACTCCAAATGCCCTGAATCAGGCGGGACGCAATGCATAGGAACACATTGTATAACGCAGAGACATTTCTTGTGTTTTCAACTGCATGCGCTACCTTGTATACCGGATGTGCACTACCCATAATGATAACGACTTGTTATCCTTACTGTCCTTGCTATACTGTTTCGTATTACCAGGTAACAAGCGATGTAATCGAAGTCGCTATCTTTGTCTACTGTGTATGCGCTATTCTTTCCGGTTGACTTTTAAAAATATTTCGGTTGACTTTTACTTCAAACGCACATCTAAAGATCAAGCAACCTCCGGCACGCATATAAATTCCGCCAGGATGCTAGATAATAATGTATACCGTCAGTTGATCGGTCTGACAACGCACAGGCCTTTAAAGACGCAATGTGAACTAACGTTTCGACTGTATCTCAAGATGTTGGCTGATCCAATTGTTAGTTTGCTTGATGAAGTCATGGGTGACTTTTCGCTTCATAATATCGGAGGGGGCCTCAAGAAGGCAAAAAAGCAAAGGTAGATGCAAACATCGATGGCTTGGTCCTGTGCGCAACTGACATTCTATTGCTGCCTACTCCGAAGGTATCCGCTAACGTCATGGTGGATACTCATTACTATAAGCTATTAACTGTCTGTTTTGTGAATGACACTTCGATTTTGGATATTGAGTGATGTGCGTCGATTCAGATGTGAAAACCGCAAATGGCCTGTACGACATTGTTCTGAAAAATATCAGATTACTACTCAAGGTTAACTTCAACGATATGCGCTCGGAGGGGAATTAAAAAGGGAGTCTGCACAGCGTGAGTACATTGAGCTCAATTCAACTTGCTTATGGTTGTGTACCATCACGATCACGGCGCCATTCTAAGCTACTCTGCCCCAAGGGTATGGATGTAGGCCAACCAACTGCGCGTCACTGTGTAGCACAGAACGTATGCTCGGGGTCGGAAGATATGCCATCACTGGGCCGGCTGGACAAGTAATTGCAGGTAAGACGACAACCATCCTGACTCACTGAGCTTGACGGCGCCAGCGTAACAAACGCAGCGAAGCGAAATCAAGTTAGGGGGGGGCAGCACAGGGCCAGTGGGAACCAGCACCATCATTAACTCCAAATAGGGCGTTTAGTATCGATGCTTGTGTCCAGACAGGTACATGCAGAGATGGACTTCGGAAACCAGTAGGTCGATTTAGTTATATGCTTCAGACCTCATCGAACCAGGCTGGATGTTTGCGGGTTCATCACAACTTCGTGTACGGAAGTCTAAGCCGTTGCATAAACTGCTAGGTTCTGTGCGTCCAATAATCGCTAGGTATAGATTAAATATGGGCACTTCAACTGCCCAGCCTGCAGCACCCGATCCCCACCATCTTCGATTTTCCTTTCCTCAAACAGTGTGTCGTTGTAGAAGGACATGACCATTACAACCAGAATATTGCAAGCATCTTTTGTCTCTTGACTCTCTAAATTGTCTTCTCGAACTATGGCTTTGTGCGTCATACCGGCCAGTGACGCGTATAGTGGCACCTCCGAATACAAACTGAACCCATCTGGTTTGTGTGACTGGTAGCACACAATCCATGTGTTTAAGTGCAGCTTGTCACGGGTTTTCTGAGCTGCATCAATGCAATAGCTGTGCTTGAGCAAGTTATTTGAATATGAAAGTGACCGCCGCCGAATTGTTCTGTGAGTACAGATTACAGTTGCGCGTCGTAGGCCCAGCTCTAATTACATATGTCTGCTTGATCGACGGTACTTGCTTTACCGCCCTTTAAGACGAATGTGCGCTTTTAGAAAATTGACCATTGGAATCCGAATAGTATTGTTGTGTTGCTGCTTTGTCATTCACGCAACTGCGATTACGCGACACGCCCGTCGAGTCCCTGTAAACAGACTTTCCCTCTTTTTGTGGCTTGTCCTATTCTTCCGAAACATTGCGTTAACCTAAGACGCCGCGGTACGCTTTTGTGACTTACCGACAGTGTTACGTTCATGTGATTTCATTAGCTATTTTCCGCTGCTTGTTTCTAGCGCTCATTCCGACTGCAATGGGGATTTTCTCGAAGTAGCCCCGGACCCCACTCCGACTACACCAGAAACGAGTAGCTCAGATAACGTGTTTATCCTTATTCCCTACCGAGTGCCAGTGTAAGGTACTTGTTCACTATTGTTGATGAAGTACACTTCCGCAAACCACCTTTCTGTTCGTTCTGCGGTCAATATTAGTTATATACGCTTAGATTTGCGTTCCGACAATAGGCTGATGGCCATAACATCTTTATGGCCATTGAGGCATTTTAAGAGAGCAAGAACGAACATTTGTGCGTGATAACTTGAATTCAGATTATTTCGTGTCTTCTCAATCAGCCGCTTACAGACAACCCGTGTGAAGACTAAAGGATTGCATTTGAATAGGGGATCAATTACAGAATCATTATAGCCCTGAGGCAATCGAGGTCATCGCCAACGTTTTACCAGGACAAGGCAAGATTGGCCACAGGTTTGAGCTATTTGCAAAGGTTAGGCTTCATTCACCGGATGACAGGGGCTTCAGCGAAACGAAATAATCTGAATTCAGGTTACCACGCACAAGCATTGTTCATTCCCGCTTTACAATTTCTGAAGGGAAATGGCTTCATGACATTGAGGTATTCTTTGATTCTATTCCACCTTTACTCAATGCTCCGATCCTCATTTGTGCTAATTGTCCCCCCTCCCGTTGACCAAAATGGCCATCGCGTTTGCCACCTCATTGTCATTCATGTGTTCCCCTAGTTGTTTCATACACGACCAACGCATTCAGCTTGACTAGTGACATTTTAGCGACACTTGTTCTCTAATCTTTCTCGATCACCTCTACCTTTTGACATTTCTGCCAATTTAGAGACAGCCTTAATTCATTTCTTCTCAATCTCTCTCGTTTGTTCTTCCTTTTCTGCCTTCACGCAATCTACACCTCTGCGCACGTAGCGGTCGGGTATTATGGTTGGTTTGCCCGGCTGCTCTCTTGCTTGTTTCTGCCTTGTCTCTTGTTCTATTCACCATGTCGGCTTTCCATCGCGCTTTCATGTTCCCGTGACGTGTCTGTACGCGTGAGTGCTCGAGTGTGCCGTACGACGGCGACACTACTGCCGCTGTTACCGTTACCGCTGCTGTTGCTGCTGCCTTTTACTCTGGTTATTTGTTACACAATTCGTGTCCTTTCAGTGAGCGCCTTTTCTGTCTTTAGATTTGATGAAGTCCCGCTACCCGTACAGGTGTAGTCATTTACCTGTTCTTTTCTAATCCTCTCTTAGTAGCTCATTCATCCTACAAACCTACTTCGCATACTGTTGCACCATATTCCACCCCGTTAGATATGATCGCTCAGCGGTGAATGCCGGCCCTCTGCTGCGTTTTCCTTTGATGTGTGCCCCTGCAAATGTTTGGTTAGTAGGGGACTTGTCTCATTACTGTTCTGTTCCACAGCTTCACCAGTCTTGGTGTTCGTTTTCTGCAATTATAACATACACTGGCGTATTACAGTGGTTTTACGCCGCTTTCTTCATCCGGTAACATGTTCGTCTAACGTCGACAAAGGGGAATAATGCAATATGTTTACTTCATCTGCGCACATAGCACGAAATTTGTGTTGCGCTTTAGACGATTACCTCCGGCATTACAACCGGGCTTCTGTTAACTTTATCCGTATAGACGTACTGACACCATTCCACTTTTGTAAGATTTTCTGAGCGCCACCGAATCCCCTAGCTCCATCAGCATATGTTAGTAGTTAGCGCATGGATTTAGCGAATTATCGAATCTGAGGTTTTGTTTGCTTCGTCTTGATTTCATACGTCTTGCAGTGGCCTACTTTCTGCATACGATAATCGATAGGCACAATAAGTGCGATGCATTCCCGAAGCACTTTATTGGCGCTTATCTGTTTTCATCCTCGTTGTTCTTCTGCGATACCATCCATTTCCAGTGAAGCTCCACGGTCAGTTGGTTCCCCCACTCTGCCTTTGGCCCAGCATCAGGACTGATCACATTGTCTTCACACCACACTGTTCAACTCGCTACTTCGGTGAGTTGTATCCCAGCTCTTTTAAGGCCGTTCCTTTACCCGTTCATTACTTCCGGTGTCCAGCAGCAAATCTCTTTGTAACTACTTCCAAACGGCACTGACGAATGCTGCGGCAGTCCGTGTTCGGTCCTCATCTTACTAGTGTGAGAACGCATTTCCCATTCTATCACTAGCTTTTTCCCTTTCCCCAGCTAACCTGATCTCTCAACACATGATCGCGTCTAGTGAGACGATTATAACAAATTGATTCTCAGGTTCAATGCCAACCACACTGTTTTTGGATATAAATCCCACCAGAGAAAGAATGCAACTCAACAATACTCTATTAGATTAGATCATCCCCATTGAGTCTCCGAAGCGACCGCGATTTCCCTCCTAGGCGCTGGTGGCAACAGTGAATTAAATAAAGGAACATTTATCCTCGGCAGTGCGAGACACGTCCAACGTTAATTGACACCCGAGGCACACGACACTGTTTGCTGACACTTTAGTGCCTGCTATTCCCGCTTCCCACGAGGCTGAAATTCTGCGGGTAGTTAGACACCGTGTTTAACTTGTTTGTTCCCTAGGCCATCATCCACTGCCGCATCCCTTCAAGATTACCGTGTTGCGAGAGCTGCACACTAGGCAATCCATTTTTTCGATCGTACCGCTAATTTCACTAACAGTTCAACGTGTCCTGTGTAATTAATACCCTAGTCATCGTTTTCTTAAGCGTCTCAGGCCATGGATCTTGTATTTATGTTCAGGGCCCCCTCTAATACCATACCCTGTCGTCCTCGGTATTTTTAAGATGGTCGCACAGTCCTACTCTCCATGCCCGTCTCGTTTGTTTTGCTGATTCGTAATCCTGTTAACATTTTACATCTAGCTTATTGGTCGCGTCCGATGCGTCGTAACTTGGTGGCTGCGTGCATACTTTGTATCATCTTTTGTTAGCTCATTGGATGCAACCCCGTGAACTTTGGTTTGTTGTTAGAGACATTCATGGGATTCACGTCACCGTCTGCTCGGTGATTCACACCTCGGTTTTCCGTTGCTTATCTGCACACTATCCACTTTCAAATGTAGTTTTCAACTATCACAGTGGCTATTTCTGTAGCTAGTATAAATACAACTGCTTGATTGGCTGATTGTTCGCTGAGCTCGGCAGGTTGACTGCAAACGTTTCGTCACCACTCGAGGTGACATCGTCAGTGCGAGTGTATTTAGCAGTGTGGCGCGTACGAAGCGTCGGTGAGTGTGAGTGATCGATCTCCTAGCCGCTAGTCTGAGTTTGGATTGTTCGACGAGCACATGACCATAGAAATCGATCTCTGATTCTCACCTCGTAGTGTACGCGCGTGGGACTCTCCGCTTGTCGTCATTTGCTGTAGTAGTGTAGCGCTCTTTTCCGTTAGATTTCTTCTAGTAATTCGGTGATCTTTCATTCGTAATGCTGTATATATAGCATCTATTTCAACATGTCGGTTTATTGAACTGTCGGTAGAATACCATGCCTCCAAGAATTCTCTAGCTTGCCTCGAATTTCCACGGGCTAGGATCTTAACGTTCTCTAGATCGAAGTGGTGGCCTTCTTGGTCTTCATGCATGCACTGACGATGTCACCTCGAGTGGTGACGAAACGTTTGCAGTCAACCTGCCGAACTAAGCGAACAATCAGCCAAACAACTGCTTGTTAATAGGCAACTAACAATAACAGTCGTCGCCATCATCCTGTCATGAGCGGGGGTGTATTATTTTGTTATCTGTACCTTCTTTGATAGACTCTTGCTTCTGTGACCCCCCACGTTGGACGCGCGATTTCGGGTGGATCGCTTTACTTAGAGCGTTCCTTTACACACAGACAGCTTGGATCTCTCTCTAATCCTTCAAGAGGGATGCTTTTGCATTAGTAACTACCTTTATGTTTCTTCATCAGGTTCTTTAATCTGCCTGTTGCACATAAAACTGACCCGATTTCGAAATAAATATTACAGCGTCTGTGGCTATCTCTGCACTGCTTGTAACCGCAAAAGTACTCCATTTTCTTTGTGTGTGTGTGAGTTGGAAACCACAACTTTTGTATCGGGTGTTCACACTGTCCTTCATTAATTGTTGATAATCATTGTTACTGGTAACTTACTGCATTGTTTACCGATCTTCGCTCACTTGTACTGCTTTTTCCTCCCTAGTAGATTCACATCAAGACACTTCAGTAGCCAAATAGTTTATTCGTTCGGTTTGGTTGCTTGTAACCGGTTTAACTGGCTCTCTCCTTATTACACCTGACGGTATCCCGCTTGGGATGTAGGAACGAATTCGTCTTCACTCACCCGGATTCACACTTCACTTTTTGGCCCTGAAATGTTGTTTATCGTCAGTAAAGGTGTGACATTGCCCTATAAGAGTGCAAAAGTCATGATGGGCTTCATTCGATAAGCTATTTAGCACGAAAAAGATACATTTGTATACTGTAAAGCCATCGTACGTCTCGTCCGTTTGTGCGATTCATGGGTTTTCATTATTCGTGGGATAGCTGAGCTTTGTAACCCAGCTTTTCCACCTCTGTTTACCTCGAACTGTGGGTCTGACCCATTCTCACCAGTGCGTACGGACTGTTGCCCTGTAATTTGGTTATTCAACCTTGAGCGTTATCTTGCCTGCTTGCTCTTGTTTCCGACATCTTACCACAAAAGGAATCTGGCGAGGTGATCAAATTGCGCTTCCTTGCTCCATGCCATCTTAGGATCATTGGAAATTTAACCCCATAATTACATTGAGACTCCGCGAACTTTAGGCGCCTGATTGGATTTGGGCCACTTGCACTGACCAGCTGCAGCCAGCTTGCTTTGACATGAGTACAATTACCGAGCTGCACCGCTGGACGGTCTCTTTGACAGTTTCGGCAAACGGACGGATGACATCAACCATGGCAGTGGACTGTTCGGATGCAAATATCCGTGAGCAAAGTACAGCTGGATCCGACAGAGAGGTGTTAAGGGACCCAGCCTGAAGCCACTTGACCAGCAATCGTCCACAGAAAATGAGCACGATCACATGTCATTTGTACCGTCACAGTCGTTTATTTCACGTAATGTATCTCTTGGAATCCATTGTAGGTTGTTTACGGTCTAGACACTTAGCTAAATCCAGACCAGCAATATCTTTTCCGGGCTTTCGATTATTGCGTTTTTGGTGTTACTCTTCACTTCAATGCGAAACCTAGCTGTTCTCTTGACTCGGAGTTTGTTGTGTGCCCGTCCATTTCTATCCGCTCACCGCTGCGTAGTGAATCGTAATCAGTGCCGGTAGAACCATCGGGTCAAGTTTTGTAGAACCGACACCCTACGCATCTCTTGACTGCACAGCCTTCGTCTGTATTGCCATGTCCACTCAGGACGGCAATATGCATCAGTCCGAGCAATTGTATTGTCGACTTCCTAATTATTCACTGTTGTATTGGGCTACGTGCAGGACACTCCGGTGTATACTATCTCTCGGTGTGCTGGAACTGGGTTCTATCCAACGCAAGAAATGAAAATTCGTTCTGCTATACGCTGGATCCCCATAGGCAGTTTGCTATCAAACGTCAGCTCAACCGTCCTTGTTTAAAATTATACTCAATGATCATGTTCAACTTTCTACCCGAAATAGAATGCATTGTTGCAAACGATGGGCATGTGACTCTATAGGTTTTCTCTGAATTCTTTCACTATATAACTAGAAAAGCAAATACCCGTGTTACTTCGCATTGCTCTGGGGGCTCAGAATACTGAGTACTGAGAACAGAGAGCGAGAAGATAAAAGTCTGTGTTGTTCCGTCGTAGGTGGATCGGGCACATGCGCGGAATCACGTCGCTGATTCCTGCGCAGTGGCTGCATATTACAGCTGCACTACATCTTATCCGGGTGCGGTACGCTCCCTATACCTGTAGTCCGTAGAGTGGGCCTCAAGGAATCGCTTAAATTCCGACACCGATTTCTCCTCGACTAGTGTCTCCGGTAATTTGTTCCGATATTTCACCACTTGGTGTGCGAACGTGCAGCAGCGGCTTCAACATAGGGAAGTGACCCGGGTGCAGTATCCGGTGCGTCATTATGAGATCAACTCCAGGCCGACGTTATGACAGGGTATAAAGCCCTAATCTCCTACATAGGTCTTCATACGACATACCCTGTAAACTGGGAATGATCCGGGTATCTACATGCTGGTCCCGTTCCAGTCTCTACACCTCACGTATTGTGATCTGGCAATAGGCGGGTGAGCCGTACTCAAGCACCAAGCTTATTATGGAAGAGAGCAAACGGGTGGCAATCTCTTCAAACCAAGTGCAGAAGCTGCGTCTAAGTGCCCAAAACAGGTGTAGTCCGTTTGCGTACAGTCTGTTCGTGTTGTCGACGGAGTTCAGATCGAAGCGTGAGAGTACACCTGGATCCTTTACGGTACTGGTGGGATGCAGTGGGTGGCCGGTCAGGGTGTACGCGTGCCAATTACTACCCCTACCCAGACTCATAAACGAGGAGTTGACCGTATTGACCGGTAGGTCAACTTCTGCAGACCACCGGGATAGGCGGTCGACGTCCTGCTGAAGGAGGTCACAGTCGCCGGGAGAATCAATAATCTTCCAAATATTCAGATCATCCGCAAATAATGCTCAGGGCGACCGAAGAGGCTGAGGTCCTTCATTGATGTGGATCAGGAATAAAATGGGCCCCAATACTGTGCTTTGGGGCACGCCGCTAGTGGAAGAGTACCATTCCGTTAGGTGATCATCCACCTGAACCCGCCATCTTCTCCCAAGAAGGAATTCACTGATCCACTGGTGCAGTGCGCCACCAACTCCACACATCCTCAGCTTGTGGAGCAGGACATCACAAACAGTTCACCCTGTCTCAGGCGGATCGAGCACCATAACTGTTCGCACAAGCCATTTTCGCCACGGTAGGTGTGTATCAGTCTCCCACACAGCGAGGACCGAATGTATAACAGCACGCCGCCTCGCTCGTTTGATAGTCTGTCGTACCGGAAGCACGCGAAGCTACTGATCTGGACTTCTTGGCTAGCGACCTCAGGATTTAACCAGGTTTCGGCCAGTCATAGTACATCCGGACGACATGAGGCAACGAAGTGAACTGCATCTTCACGTTTGTTCATTAAACTACAAACATATGTGAAGGCTGCGGTTTGAACCGGCGACGCGCATGAAATGTCATCAATCTTTGATCCGAGTTGGACGGACCCGGGGAATTACGCGGAAATTTAAATTGTGGCAATTGGTTTTTCCACTATCAGTCCGCCGTTCCAACTCCATGATAGCGGATTTCAGTTTCTTTCTGTCCGACAGATCCAAATCGGGACGAATATGGATCTTTAGACCTCTTAGCCTACCGAGGCAGGATATTATCAGCCTCGCAATCGTTACGTCAACAAACGTGACTGACAGAGACCATGATTTCCCCTCCTCTCTCTTCCCAAAATGGTTGATTTGCTTCACCCGCAACCCCTGTTCATTCACGTCGAGAAGCCTATCAATCAGGCTCTGCAGAAACTCCAGGTATTGGTCATAACGAGTCTGAGAACTAGTATCTGTCGACTCAGGCGCGTAAAATATCATAAGGTTACAACGCCGCTGATTGCTGGCAGTTGTCTTCTTTTTGCTTCGCTGTATTCTCCATAGGCCTTCAACGCCTGCACTATCGCACACCTGTAGGTTACTGTCCGTAGGACGCAACACAGGCACGACAGCTGAGTCTCCAGCAACAGGTGGACATCGCGCTGGAGAGCCTGCAGCCGGCGTGCAGGTGGACTGGTTCGAACACAGAGGTGGCTGGGTTTCCGCTTGCTTGGATGAACCCACGGAGCTCCTCCCTATGGAACGTTTCGCCCGTCTTGTGGGCTCGCGCGGCTTCTCGGTTGTCTGTGACTCACAGGGGCATGATACTTTGCACAATAGTTGGACAAAGTCATGCTGAATTTCACGCAGTAGTTTTACGTGATCTAAAGACAAATCAATACACGAAATGTGGAAATTCACATCACACGTGCGGCATGTAACATCATTGGCTCTATGCCCAATTATTTAGCAACGAGGGCCACAGGGAGTCAGCTTCGTCATTACCAATAGCTTAACAGATCTGGCGGTAAAGGGGATAAAGTGAACCATAAGTACACGATAAAAGTGCCAGAGTAAAATGTACGGACACGAAATTAATACACAATAACCAAATTCAGAATCGCAAAAACAACTGCATTTGACAAAATATAAACACGCAACATCTGCTTTGCACAAGATAATTAACGATGCAAACTAGCCTGTCAAATAGAGCGAGAAAAACGGTCCGGAGAGCGCTATCCGCAAATTACGCACTCTAACGAAGTTGCTCTCCTGACACATTAGTTCCCCGCAAATCGTGGTGAATCTTTCTTGGTCACCCGATCTCACTGCTATCACGCTGGCTTTCTTGGCTGCATGTTTCGTACTAAAGGCGTTTATGTCTCCATGTCTTATCTTTTTTGGCTATTGGATGATTGCTTAACTGTTTTCCTGTCTAATAATTTAACCAGACGATATTTTTACCTCGTCGGTTTGTCTATTTTCCTTTTTCAGTTCATAAACCAACGGTTCGGCCTACCTTGTTCTCTTGCTTTGGTTTCGAGATGATTATCTTACACACATTCGCCCTCCTGATGAGATCCTATTGGCTTCTTCGTGAATCCAGCGATTACTCTTTATCTGGATCCCAGTCACCGTTCTTCCACACCTGCGGTGTCTCTGCCCCCACGCCTCACTCCTCCCTACTCTGACAAGAACCCCACCGCATGCGTTGCAGCCCCAAGCCGATTCAAGCCATCGCCATCCACCGATTCACGGTTCGCCATTACCGCCGTCATCCATACATCTGGGGATTGTTTTCTCTCATATGCTTCTCTCAATCATGTACATTAATCCATCTTATTACTGACCACGATTTTTCCCAGCTCCCCTCATGTCTCCCGCTTTTCTTCCTTCAAATGTGTGCTCTGCGAAGTCTGCACCCTTTTTCATTCAAGTCATAGTCTCACTAGCTTTCAGCCTCTTCATATATTCCTTATTTTCCCGGTTTGAATGGATATTTCATCGATCCCAGGCGTTTTGTACACCTCCTTGTTTTCTGTTTGCCTGTTCGCTGAGCTGCGCGCCTCGTGTCTCCTCCGCTACCGGGTCATTCGCCAACTGTGCCACTTCGTGTCCCGAACCGCTCGCACTCGACCTTTGTGTGTCTCTTGTTTTCCATTTGCTAGGGTGCAGCGCATTCCCTTAATACTAGTTGAGTTGTACTCGGCCACGATTGCAATACTTTTTGGTGTTCGATACCTTCGTCGGTCTCCAGTATTAGTTCCCCATACTGTTGGTTCCATCCTCCTGCGAAATGTGGTGTGGCCATATTTATGTTTTTTTATTTTTTCTTCTTCTGTAATCTCTCCTACTCTAGATACCAGCGCTGTCCTGGCTTTCCCTTTTTTGTGTATATCTCTAAGCACCTAATGATTGATGAGATTCCAGTATACTGCTAACCGATGTGTTCTAGTTTGGATTGAATTCGGAAATTTACTATTTCAATTGAACTTCATCAGTACCGCATCATCTATCTTTTCCAAGTAAATCTCTCCATTGATTTCTATCCGTCTGGTGAGCTATGCCCAAAATTGCTTTAGACTACTTTAAGGCCGAATGCGGAGTAGCGATTTATATGACTCCCTTTGCCTGCGCCACCATAGTGAAAAAAAAGAGCACCTGTCCCTTTTGTGTGTCTATACAACATTGGGTCAGCATACGACTGGGTTCGAATTTGCTAGTTGGAGACCAATGACAAGTGCACTAGTGAATTCGGGTCGCCATCACACCGCGTTGGGCTGCCGGATCTTTATGATGTTCTTACGCAGAAACAGAGCACGCGGCAGACTAATAGAGCTTTTTTTCGTTACTGCATGTTTCTTCGCGTGAATCTCTGAAGGCCTATAACTAAATGAGAGCATTGTTTTGACACTGTCAAATGCAATCAATCATGAATAATATAGGTCTTTCGCGTCGCAGGCGTTCATCTTCAGCAAGCTACGCGGAGCGGCGCTACTGAGTCCACTGCTACGCAACAAGTCGGCATCGCTATCACTCCATCGATTATGCAACCAATGATAGCAATGGTTCGCACACCTGGGTGATTAGAACAATTGATCACCTATCTAGGCTGCACAGCAAAACCGACCGTCTGTGTGGCTGATTTACCTCTTGAAATATCACTTGACCCTTATTGGTGCGCACAATCCGGCCATTGGAGGTGCCACAACTGTCTGGGCAGTTGAACCGATTCATTTCAGTTTGTAGTTACGATCAGCTCATGGAATTGTCATGAACCGAACTACTTTCATCCATAGCTGGATGATTATCTTTGTGGTTGGAACAAAGCAGAAATTCAACTCGGATACGAGAGAGCGAAAGCGATAGCGCCACTTGGGATTGTATTGTATCCGAAGAGGTAATTTACCGTTGGTGTAATCGACATCCTTGTTCCTATCCGGACTATCGACACTCACGTGATCGACTCAATCTCGTTCACACCTTCCTCACAAATTGGCCGCCTAATTGCTTCGCTCTTCCAGATGTGTCCATAGCTGACACTGCTCTCCTGGACAACTAGTCGGCTGGCATACGAATGTTGGAGTTCGAAGAACATTGTCTTTGATCTTGCTTATTTAACTCGCCCTCTGGCCGTGGACAACTATTCACAGGCATCAGTAATCATGCACCCCCCGTTTTCTTACTGTCTTTCGCTCCGTGCTCATGCCAAAAATCTATTCGGCAGCACACGGCAATACCCAATCGATTACTCAATTTCGTAGCGAGAATTAATGACAAATCAACCCGGTCCTTCAGTGCTGCCGTTCGTTTTACAATCTGCACTGGAGATATAGCTCCAACTACAACCCTTTCCGATCTTTTCATTCACTAAGCTGCAGATAGGCGCGTCTGCTCTGGTGTATCCCATCTACTGGGACCTCAGAGTTGTGGTTCCTGTACACACGGTCAGATGAGTCTCGGTTTCTGGGCCGCATCGCGAATACATGTTACCATTGTTGATGACTATTTTACGTTTCCTTCTGCTGGGGTCGTTGCCGGGGCACAACGCATTCTCTCCCTGAGGCTGTCAATAGCTAAACATACTGATTTTACCATCCCAGTATTCTGTTGACCTACTGGATATGAAGTTTTTGGGTAGCTTAAGCGCTGTGGTCTCGACGGTAATAATGTGTTGGACATTTTCGCCAACATCTTAAGCTTCTTTTATATATAACGGTCATCACAATCGCCGATTTCCACCCTGCGAACACTTTCTTTTGCATAGTCAATTACGTTGTTCAACGAAAAAGTCTATTTTCTATAGCAGAAATGCCAATGTCTCTAACTTATAGAGTACACTCCACTGATCGTACAAACGTATTCCGATCTTAATTAATACGTCAGGTTACATTGTTACAAGCTAATGATTATTTTTAGTAATGTCCAGTCTAGATCGTAAGAGTTATATATAACTGTACTGAATCACTACATATACAGTAAGCATGTATGTGACAAATACTGCAACACTCCCCTAACTACTGACTGCAGCTTGGCACCAGGAATTAATGACTTCGCGGATATCGTCGCTTGTATCAACCAGTGCTCTCAAGATGCAGAAACTAGTAAAAGTCACCCATCATAGAATATGTGTACTTGCCACTGTAGCGCTGCTCCATGACTGAAATGTCTTGGTGAAAGCGCCCACCATGTTCCTCGCTGACGGATCCCAAGTTCTCCGAGAAAAAGAAGGCGATCGTGTTGAAAGTGAATCTTGAGTGGCATTCGAGCACCAGCAGCCCGATAGTCCGCAACGGTCTTTTTTGTGATGTCTTTGTAGTTCTCTGCCTTTGTCCTACCTAAACATCTTGTACACATTGCCTTGAATGATCTTCACGCTTTTAGCTCAAATGAAGTCAACTGGCATTCAAAAGCATCTTCTGCCATTATGCGGCGAATATGAGGCCTAATAAGTATCCATCCTTTGAGTTTCGCACCACTGCTTTTCGGAAATATTTGTTTCAAGTACTGAAACGCAAAACCATCTCGCTTGAGGGTTTTGACGGAGTTTTAATCAAACCATGCTTGATGTGCAAGGGTAGTAGATAGATATGATCGGGTTGCATAAGAGGTGTATGCTCTAGACTCACTTTCCCTGCAGCATACTCCTTCTTCTCTGGTCACTTTTCTGTTGTGTAGTGCTGTTGAGTTGCTCTATTGTCCCATAAGCACAACGAACAGCAACAGTTTGTGAAGCCACCTTGCATACCTATTAAGGGTCCAATGATTTCAGTGATAGCAAAGATATCCCAACAGTACTAATCGTAAATCAGTGCAGCGAGTATCTTGCGTACTTTCGTACGTCTCCTTCATATTTGTGGCATACAACAGGGGCACGGTCGGGTACACATTTCCATTGTGGAGCCGTATGACCTTAAGACTACTCTTGGTCAGGTCAATGCAGAGGCATCAGCGGTACGCAGTACCGACGCTTCGCTGCCTCGCATCCACTACCGGTCGCACGTAGGCTAAGGATACTGCAAGGATCGCCCTGTCACTACGCAGACCCGAACCCGCGCCGTCAGATTAAAAGACAAGCTTGTTACCTTTCGGTTACGGGCAGCCGCAGTCAACGGACAACCATCTTTCATCACTGCTATACCTCACGTCAAGCTACTTCATCGGTCCTTCCACGCTGAGACAGTAACAAAAGCTTTCCCTTGTGCCATAGCGACCAAACAATTTAACTCTTCGCTTTTTGTATACAGTAATCTTAGCATTTGCAACAAGTAAATGCCACTGCTGCAACCGAGATGCCAACTCTATCTTGTATTTAGGCACGATCAGGTCACCCACCAAGTCATTCTACTCTGATTGTTCAATAAGATGTGGTTTGACATCATCAGCTTCAAAGTTTCCACCAATATCTGACTCAGGCGAAATCGACGATGCAGATCCACTACTCATCATCAGTGACATGTTCATCGGAGGCACTGGAATGGGTAAGGTGCAATCATGTGGAACAGGTCTAATAGCTGATGGAACACGAAGTTTGTCCTTGTTTAGGTTGGAGAGTTCAACTAGTTAGGAGGAAGTAGCAGTTTGTCGTATGGTCCTTCGGCTTCCTCCACATCATGAGGATTGCAAAGGGCATCTTACCTTTGCACTACTCACAGTCTGTGTGT